AAAAGCAGTTAAATGCAATATAATAAATCACAGTGTTGAGTAAAGTAATAAAAATATGGCAGTTATCTAAAGACTCAAATAATAATATTGAGCAATCAAATTATGAATCTCCTCAATTAAAAAGAAGTTAAACTCTTAAATTGCAATTGTGTGTTACTTTTTAACTGTCCATGAGATAAGAGTGGTGCCGAGGAATGAGCAGTATCTGGAGGTGGATTTCCTTGTGTATGGGTCGACTGCCCAATCTCCATCAGAAAAGGATTGCAACATAAGATTAGATTTGGTAATAGGAATTCCGTAGTCCAGAGTACCTTTGATATATCGTAGTAGGCGTTTGAGCAGATATATGTGTTGAGGTGATGGTTGATGCATATGTTGGGACAATTGGTTACGCTATAGGCTATATCCAGACGTGTTATAGTAAGGTATTGCAATGAGTCTGTCAAGCGCTTGTATATCGAAGGATCAGAGATGATCGAATATGTAGGAACGACGGAAGGAGGTTTGGTGCACGTTGGATTTGCAAGGCGCTTGGAGTTGGTTAATTGAGTTGATTTCACAATCAAATTCAAGCCCAACACTTAGGATAGACTGAGGTGTTTCTGAAGTGATTCAGAATCCCAAAACACCTCCTACCTTTCTTCCTTTAACTCCTGAAATAAGTGTTCAACCTTAATCCAATCCCGATTGAAAATTCCTATCATTTTTCTCCTTTGATATCGATCTTTGAAAATCTAAATAAAATTTCTACTGCTATTTTAATCGAGAGTTTTTGTAGGAAACTTCCATTTCCTACGATGTAATTAACTACGAGGGCTTGCGCTCGTAGGAGGTTTAGAATCCCAGAATTGATTTTCAAAATTAAGTTTTCAAAACCCTTAATTAATTATCTTTGGGAAAATCCAAATTTCAACGATCGTTACCTCCATTTTCGAACGATCAATAGCGATTGATAACTTCTTTCCTCGGAGATATATATCAATTTCTATTGTAATTTTGATTATGAAATTAACGGTCTCTTATTCAAATTATCGTAGTTAAACAATTGATTGAACATAATTTTGATCTTTCGAGATCATATGTTGTCTTTCTTGATTTCAAAGACGATAATTTGGATAATTTTAAAGCTTCGAAATTTGAACCAATTAGTGAATGATATTCTCTCCGTTTGAGGTGATATATCGTTCCTAATGTTGTGTTCGATTTTAAAATCAAAATTAAAAATTTAATCTTCCCAAATAAAATTAATACTTTTTCAAACAAATATTTTTTTTAATCAAAACATAGGCTTTTGAGCAGATATATGTGTTGAGGTGATGGTTGATGCATATGTTGGGACAATCGGTTACGCTATAGGCTATATCCAGACGTGTTATAGTAAGGTATTGCAATGAGTCTGTCAAGCGCTTGTATATCGAAGGATCAGAGATGATCGAATATGTAGGAACGACGGAAGGAGGTTTGGTGCACGTTGGATTTGCAAGGCGCTTGGAGTTGGTTAATTGAGTTGATTTCAGAATGGATGAAGCATATTTCTGTTGAAAAAGAAAGTAATATTGATTATTATAATGAATTTAAATACCAAGAAAATCATGAGCCTTGCCATGATTTTTTATGTTGAATTTTGAGCTAAGTTGTTCCATGACCGTGGATATAAACTCTTGATTGTTGCCTGTAATAAGTATATAATCTACGTATATAAGAAGATATATTTGGGTTTGGTTTTGATGAAAAATAAGCAGAGATGGGTGGGCATTGCTATGAACAAAACCAATAGAAACAAGATATGAAGTGAACGTGTTATACCATTGTCTCGGGGCTTGTTTCAAACCGTATAGAGCCTTATGAAGATGATAGACGTAGTCGGGATGAGAAGTATCTTCGAATCCTTTGGGTTGAATCATGTATATAGTTTTGGATAGGTGACTATGTAGGAAAGCGTTGGCGACATCTAATGCATTTACCTGCCAATTGTTGTGAAGGGCGATTATAAGCAGGATCCGAATGGTCGGCAGTTTAGCAACTAGACTAAATGTTTATGTGTAGTCAAGCCCGTATTCTTGAGAATTTCCTTGAGCTACAAGTCTTGCATTATATTTAGCTATTTTCATACACCAAAACACTTCCAAACATATACAAATGAGTTCAAAACATAAGACTTTAAATATTTACCTTTTTCAATTCATATCCAAACATGTAGAACAAATGCTGAACTTGGAGGCGTCACAACTCTCCCCTCCTTTACAGATGTCATCATCGACATTTCAAAACTCAAATATTAAATCACACAAATAAATCAGGATGAAACTGTAGCATTTCAGATTCTTTTTCTCAATTAGCTTCCCTTTCAGCTTTGTTCTTCCACTAGACTTTCAGCTTGGGTATATTTATTTCTTAACTTTTTGATCTCATAGGTCAGAATCCTCTATTGTTTATTCCTGTAACTCAGATTTAGACATACCTCAATTTTTTTAGCAGATATTTTATTTCCAGATTGAAAACAAGGCCAAATCTTAAAAACATCAATACAAAAATAAATTGATCAATCATGAGACTCAAGATAACATTCAAATAAAAAACTTAAATTATATTATGGATCATTCAAACTCTAAATCCAACAAATTTATATTAAAAAAGAGCTTCTAAACAAAATGAATTCACCGACACAAAAATTGATTTGATATGAGTGCAAATGAGCCCTAGTCGTAGAAACTTTAGGATATTAATTAGATGGAAAAATCATCTTCAAATATTATAAACAGATAAGCTAATCAATAATTTTGACATGCTAGGTATGATATTTTTCCTTAGGAGCACCGCAGTGCCTTTGCATCGCTATATCAATGATTCAACTCATCATCATCCTCCATCCTTCTATTTCTTCATTGAACATTGAGCACCATTGCCTTCCTATAAGAACAAATCGTCGTACCAAAATACAAAGAAAAATCTCACTTCTCCCTAACCTTGGAGACAATCCGTCTAAGTAGAGACATTCTACTAACTTTAACAGAAAATTGGAGCTCCACCATAAGCATTGAGAACATTTTGCTCATCTTACAACATGTTTGTCGAGTAAGGATAATCAATCACTTTTTCAAGGAAAAATCAAAATCTTGCTATAGAGACTATAAACTTTATCACTACTATATCCAATACAGTCAATAAAGATTGTCGACATATTTTGCAAAGGAAGATCAAAGCCCTCATCATAGGTATTATACGCCTTATATCTCTTCAAATATGATTTATCTAATGAGGAAAGTTGACACCATTTTCATGAGATGACCGAAGCCAAACCTTAGAAATTATATGCCTTAATTGCCTTTAACAACCAAACTCATGCCGAACATTTTTTTAAAATTTACGGGGACAAATTGGAGCTTTCTTGGGAGAGTTCTCTCTTCTTTAGCCCTGATAGGGTCATTTATAGAGTTGGATGAGGAATTAGGGAAGTAAAATATAAAAAAAGTTAAATCTCTCTTAGAATTTAGTATATTGGTAAATATTTTTCTTGTCCTTTTTGAAAAAGTAATAAAAATGAAATAGATTTAATAAAAATAATTTTTTCATTATTGTAGAAATTGTGCTGGTGTGCAAGCACCTGAACGCTTGTGCATGGCACAGATGTGCACCTACAAGTGCGGTTATGCACATTATTCATGCACACATTGCAAGTGGCATTCACGCCAATTTTTTTGACCTAATTTATGCCCAATTTTGAGCATAGACATGCCATCTCTAACATTTTTGGCGTCTAAAATAAATATTTTTTTCAGGATTTAATTTTGAAAATTTGTTATGCACAATAGAGTCTCTACATCAAATTTCAAGTATCTTGGAAGATGTTGAAATGAAATTTTTATAAATTTTTACTCCAATTGACATGCCCACTTCCAGGAAAAAATTAGAATTATGATTGAGTGTACTTTTTTTTGTTCATGACCCTAATAGGGATTCATATTAGAGTCCAAAGGATGATCACTCATTATAAATTTTTTAAAGTTTTAATTTTATGTCGTGGAATTTTATAAAAAAAAATAAATATATACTTTGATGTTTAAAAATAAGGGGAAGTTTATATGTTATTGGAAAATCCACAAGATTAAAGATAAAGCTCGAAACAATATTTGACTTGAAAACTTTTGAAATTACATTCAATATATACCAAAAATAGATTCCAATAAATTTATAGCCTAATTGAACATATTGATGTTACAAACCCATTAGCACTAAAAATAATTCGATCCGAATCAATATGAGATCCAGTCAAACATTTGATGTATGGTTAGAAACTCGAATGCATTTATTAAAGGGCCAAAAGTTTTTCAAATCTTTTATGCTTATAGTCAAATCAAGCATTCGACGAGAAAATTCCAACGAGCCTAAGATTGCGTAATTATGATATCATTAAATTACTTAAATAACGGAAGAACTATATATTATCCTAGAAATCAATATGGGTCTTATGATAAAATGTTTTGAGAATTTTGATTAGATTTATCAAAATTGAACACTACATAATTTGTAATTAGACCCTATTTTCAATATGATGGAGATGTGAGATAGGACCTTGACTTAAAATTGGGGGCGCCACTTTGAATCTGTTGCTATTAGACTACTACGAATCATTGGTGCTCAACAATTGCCTCGGACTGCAGCTGTATATCCACCATTGTCAAATTACCGTTATTTGACTAATGCATATGTTATTATTTGGCCATAACCTCATAATCTTTGTTAATTATATATTTATCTACTTAATATTCTTACAATGTTATGATATTAAGTTATTTTTCTTTATCATCATAAATATTTTAATACGCACTAATATTTTTATTGTATAAATTTTTAGATGTTAAAAAAAAAAGATGAATAAATTATAATTTGCATGTCATTTTGGATGCAATTATGGGATTTACTTATGGGATTCACATGGAAATGTTCATTAACCAAAGGGAGGGCAATATCGTAATATAATGCCGGACCAGGGGCCCTCTGCGTTCCCCGCCCTTCGTAGCTTATTTCCTTGGAGGGCTTTTTGTTCGCGCTGCGAGTGCGGGGAAGAGGGCGACGGCGAATTCAACAGCGATTAGGGTTGTCTATTGGTCTCGCGGGCTTTGAGCTTGCCTGCATATAACCCACTTCCGTCTCTGTGAATTCTGGTGTAGAACTACTGCGAACAGCGAATTCTTCCCTTTTCCTTTGTTCTCGCCGGCGGGCGTTGGTTCTGGTGGCAGGTCATGGGCGCGCAGGCGAAGGCAGCTAGCTCTGCGAATTCCATGCAGGTGGGTGATTCTGGGATTTTGTTTTTCTTACTTTTTTTGGTGCTAAATCATATTTCTTTTTGTGATGCCCTAGATTCGGAACTTCCGTTTCTCTGACTTTCGATAGGGTGCGTTGTGCTGGCGTATGTATAGTTTATTTTGTTTCATGCACTGTTCTTGTACTTAGTTGATGCGTGCTTATGGATAGTATGACATCCAATTTAATTGAACATTGTTAATTTGGAATATCCTTAATGAAGAACGGTTTTGCTTGTAGTCAAGCTTATTCAGAGATAGTAGCTAATGACTCTCTGTAGAGTTTATTCCTCTAAATGTACATCATAGTTGTAAAGCTTAAAAAGTACAATTGAAATTTGGAAGGCTGATATGATAGTATTGGATGATAGTTGTTGTTATGATTCGTTTCATGGATTTTTTGCTCTCAAATATGTTAGCTTATATTTTGGCTGCTCTGCATTTGAAATTCTGGGTTATGTTTTGGATGGAGTGTGTATTTTATGGAAAATTACAGTGAGTCTAGAGTCTTTGAACTTTTCTGCTCTACGTTATCCCATGAAGACAACTATGATTTCAGCAAGGATTAAATTTGGGACAAGAATAATCAATATTTTGCCGTGTTAACAAAGTAAGGGCTCACCAAATATTTTGCATCTTGAATTGTAATAACAACGTTTAGTGCTACAACAACAACAACATCAAGCCTTTATCCCACTATGTGGGGTCGGCTACATGAATCCTTTTCTCCATTGTGTCCTATTAAAAGTCAAATTCTCATTTAAATCTAATAAAGAAAGGTCATTCCTAATATTTTCTAACCAAGTCTTTTTAGGTCTGCCTCTACCTTTCTTAACATAAGTCAAATCTAATACCTCTACTCTCCTAACCGGGTCATTGGAAGGCCGCCGTTTTATGTGACCAAACCATCTAAGGAGACTCTCTCTAATCTTATCTTCTACTCGAGCTACTCCAACATTTTCATGTATATGCTCATTTTGTATCCTATCTCTAAGGGTAAAGCCACTCATCCACCTGAGCATCCTTATCTCTGCCACACTTAACTTCGTATTATGCTTCTCTTTTAATGGCCAACATTCAACACCATAAAGCATTGCAGGCTTCACTACCATCTTATAGAATTTTTCCTTAAGTTTGAGGGGTACTTTTCTATCACACAACAAGCCCGATGCATTCCTCCACTTCAACCATCCAACTTGAAATTAAAGAGTTTCTTGACAACAAACATGCATACTTGGCTTGGATTTTGTTTGCAGCAGCAGTCCACATTTAGTATTAAAAGAAGTCACGAAAAGCATTAGGACCGAAGTCTCCCAATGAATTTCAAGTTAATGGGAGTAAATTTCCTACCTACCAAAAAAAATGAAGGACTAATTATTTTATCATGATAGGCTAAGGATTTCAGAATAAAGATAATGGAAAATCCAAAGTTTGTTTAAGTTCTAAACGATGGAAGGGAAGCCTCTTTAAATTGTATCAACTGCTTTTTAGAACTTTAATTTTGAATGTGTCATATAAAGTTGTTGGAAATTTCATCGGCCTCCACTAAAAAGATTGACAACCATTTTATCGACATATTGTCTGAATAAGATAGCCGTCTATATAATTAGATAAGGAACTTAGAATTGATAGAATACAAAATGTAGGAGCTGTGCAATAGGATTGGATAATTTATTGGTATGCCAAGGTCATCTTTACTTGTCAATAGCAAATGGCGTTATATGATGCAAGTGTCTCTTGGAGCCAAAGTGCATGCATGATTTGCACTATTTTAAAACTAGAGAAAACCATAGAAAAATCATGAGCAACGTATTAATTATTCAATAACATAAGAGAAGAAATATGATAAAAGTAAAAGCAACATACTACCACTACAGGAAAATCACCCATTTTCGGCGGCCTTTTCCGGCGGTAATTGAACCTTTCGCGGTTTTGTAGTTTTCCGGCGGTTAAATTACTGCCGGTAAAAACGGCGTAGGAAAATGAATTCTGGCGGTTTTTTCCGGCGGCAATTTTATCCGGCGCTTACGCGGTCTTGAACCGCCTCAAATAAAAAAAAAAAATAATCCCGCTCGGCAGCTAACCGCTCCCGCGGCTCCCGTGCTCCGGCGATGCCCCCGCCGCTCCCGCGTGTGCTCCGGCCATGCCCCCGCCCGGCTCCCGCGCGCGCTCCAGCGTGCAAGGGGGGGTTCGAACGCTGGTTCCCTGTATGAAATTTCAAACGACGGACCGCTTTGCTGAAGAAGTAAATATGTGTAAAACGTCAATATTTATTATTTAAACTACTTGCACACAGAAAATAAAAAAAAAACTTTATTATAAAAAAATTAAAACTAATTAATTTAAAATAAAAAATAATATTTAATAAAAAATAAAAAATAACTAACTAATTAATTTTAAGATGAAAATTAAGTTAATAGTTATTTTAACTTTTAATAATTTTTTGTTAAATCATTTAAATGTTTAAAATTTTATTCATTTTTTTATTAAATTTTTAAAAGCCGCCGGAAACGTTAAAAAGCCGCCGGAAAAGCCGTCGGAAATGTGACCGCCAGAAAACCGTCGGAAAGCCGCCGGAAAATTCCGCCGGAAATAAGTGATTTTCCTGTAGTGTACTATATATAAATAGAACATAAGATTGTTTTAACAAATATTATAATTAGCGAATAATGATCATATGGAAATAGCAAGTATCATGCCAAATAAAATGATTAATTTTACAAATCGAATTATCATGGTTATAGAATACATATTATTAGAATAAGATGTTAAACCTTGCAACTCAATCTTTGGACTTTATAAATAATTTTTTTGCAAGTTCTATATTAATAAAAAAATAAATTATTTATCTAGAGAGTTATTATCATCAACATCATATAAACAAAAATAGCATCATCTCCATCCTTATCATGCTCCAAATCATAATCATGATCATCACTCACCGTTTCATGATCATTTGAAAATGTACAAGGCTTAAGATGAAGATTCATTTTCCTTATCCCTGGATCAAAATTGAATATTGTATTTCTTTCATAGACAACACTAAGTGTCGCAATGTTAATACATGTGAACTTTTGTTCATCTAAACCAATTCATTATGGTCATCTAACTCATCATCCATTTTTTTATTAACCGCTTATTAATCACTCATTAGCATTAACTATTTCATTCAAAAACTTTTGTCAATAATGTCATCGTGGTTGTATATCCAAATCAACGCCCTATTATACATTTATCTTTAGGGATTGTTTGATTTGAAGGATCTTTGTTGTAAAGTATTTCAAATGTAGACGTTTTAGAAATATAGGTGTTTGTTTTGATGAAAATAAATTTAGTGTAAAATCTTGAGGAATTTGAAACTCACATTTATGTACATTTTTAGTGTATTCCAAAATTAGCTGATTTTAGCTGATTTTCGAATACACATCATGCATCTTCCTCACTTGTCATTGTAAACCACCACTTTCCTCGCTATGTTATTTTACACCCAATTAAATTTTGATATTTGGATTAAATCCTCAAATGGGGGTGCCTATTAATTTGTATCCTTTCAAGTTGAACCTTGTGTTTAGATTCTTTACATACTTGGTTTGTGATATGAATATTCTGTTTTTTGCTTTACTTCTAAACCCAAAAATAATTAAGTTATCCCATCAAACTCATTTTTATCTCCTTACTCTATTTGTAAACTCATGACATAAATATTGTTTTGTAGCTCCAAATAATGTTTTTTCTATATAAAATTGAGTCATAATTATCTCAAATTTTGACTCTCCTAATCAATATTGTATTATCTACTCTATGCTTAGTGATATCAAAATAGAAATAATGCAAGTTTCTAGCAAAATTGGGCAAGACTAGATAATCTCAAACTCTCAAGAAACTAATTGAACTAAAGATATTAAGTAACTTTGACAAGACATGCATGCTACAAAGACTTTACCCTCCAGTTGATTTCTCGTAGTTGTAAATTAAAGCTTGTTTTTTGCTATGTTCAGTCAATTAAAACTCAAGAAACGTATTGCCTGGGGCTGCTACCTTCTGGGTCTCTCTTGCAGCAACCCAACTTCCTGTTTGCGGGCATTTCAACCTCTTGGTTTCAAGCTATTATGATCTGTTTCCCAAAAGGGCTGGTTTTAGGAACTTGATTTGGTGGAAATATCTTGCAATCCTTCTAAATAAATTATAAGGAGCACTAGGTAGTCCAATTTTTCAAAATGGGAAAACCCAATTAAATAGTGATTGAGCAACAAAAAACCTGTGGACTGAAAGACTTCTCGATTGAAGAAGATGGTAGCTTTGTGTCTTGGCTGAAAGTACTTTTGCCTGGTTGGATGTTCCAGCATCCGAGAGACTTTAGTCAGCTGTGTATTGGATCTGTCCTTTAGCTGGAAAGGGAGATCAACGTTTTCAGAACTTTGCTTAGAGTATATCCTCATTGGAATGGTCCAGCCATCCACACTCATGGAGACTTCTCAAGAAAAAAGGTGAACCCATTGGCTTGAAGATGCTCCTTCTAGATGTGTGCGGCGACCTGAGAACCACTACAAGATTGCATTGTGGTTGGAAAGACTTCTATCTAGTCGCTGTTGGCTTATTCCCTTCACTGATATCCTGAAGAGTCTGTCCATGGGATAGTTCTTCTCTTGGCAAAGCTAGAACAACAAGAAGAACAAGAGTTAGGCTGTTGGGTTGTTTCCTTGGAGAAAACTGGAACCTGGACAACCACCCGTGAGACACTTCTTGCCCGATCTGGAGTTCTCAACAGCAAGATTTAGCTACAGCCACCTTGGACAGCCACCGCAGGCTACTTCTAGAGTTTCGACATCGGTTGTGGCGGAGTCCCGAACTCCACTATTGCATCCTTCCCTCCAAACCTAAAGTACGGGAAATCGACCCCAATAACAGGGAAGTCCTTCCCAAACCATGTATAGCCTGAAATGTAAACTCTCCTTTCTAACATAAGGTGTGGGCATTTATAGACA